AGCATAAACAATCAGGCTCAGTGCCAGGCATGGCTGGGGACCCACGGGGCCTGGTGGGGACCACCCAGCTCCTGGAACCTCAGAGAGCACCACCTATAGGAGCAAGTGTCTTTAAAATTCAAAGGAGTAGTTCCAACCAACCTCCTCACATTCCCCAACCCCCAGCCACTCAGTCCCCCCATGGTGAGCGCCCCTCTGTGGGCTGGGGCTCGGCTGAATGTGCCCTGTAGTTGGATCCTGCCCCATTTTACACCCTCTGCTCTCAGCCTCACCCTCTCCTTCACTGGGGGGTGTGAGCAGGAATGGCTCAATCAGGGCAGAATCGTTTTTAATTAACGGGCAGATCATTTCACAAGCTAATCTCCTTGGAGACAAGAAGGAAGGTGGTCTTTTTAGATTTTCTTTTGCCTTCCTCCATCCACCCATCCAAGTTGAAGGCTGCCCCCACCCTTTCACCCACTCTGCCGCACCCCTGCAAGCAGCACGAAAGCTTGTGCCTGGGTCCCTCTCGGGGCCACTAGGAGGTAAGTGTGTGTTCACACACAGTCACACATAAAATGTGCTCAAGCTTGGGGGCACGCTCTCCAGAAATGCACAAATGGCATCAGAGACTCACAGACAGGGACACACACAGACCCCTTAAGAAATATACAAACAGAATCCGAGGCACACAAACGTGGGTACACACATACCCAGGCCAGCACGCACCCCAACTCCCAAGAACATACAAACAGCACCTGACACAGACACAAACACACAGGCACCCACTGAGGTGGTGTGCCTATGGGGACAGGTCCTGGCTCGGAGACACCCACACTCATGGTGGGGGCGGGGCTGGGGGGCACAGGGCGCTCCAAGCCTCCCGGGCCTGCAGACCTCCTGGCAAGGAGATAGACAAAAGGCGCCTTCCCTGCACTAGGAAGTCAGAGCTACAGGTACCTCACCTCCACAAACACCCTGGCCCCAGCCCTGGAGACTGAAGTGTCCTTCCCCCTCTCCCACTGGGGAACCCATGAACAGAGAAGCCACCAACATCGTGCCTCTCTGTCACCTGGGTGGCACCTAATCTGGATCCTTCTGAACCCCAGAGCCCTGCCTCCCCCCACCACACAGCTGTTCCGGCCAGCCCTGGCAGTGTCCTGGGATGTCCAGCCTTTCCTGGCTATCCAGCCCTGGCCATCTGCAACATCACGCTGGGAGTGCTGTCCCCAGCTTCTGCCCCGGGTGCCTAGTGAGGCTGAGGGGGAGGGTTCTCTCTCTGTCTTCATTTTAAATAGACCCTTTCCTTCCCCCATTTTCTTCCTTTCTGATCTCCCCTCCCTCTTTTCTTCTCTTTCCTTTTTATAAATAATTTTTGGGGGTTACACTGGTTCATAAAATCATACAAGCTTCCCCTTTCCCTCTTTCCTAATCCCTTCCTTTTTCTCATCTCCCCTTCCATCCTTTTCTCCTTTTCTCTCTTCCTTGCTTATCCGTCCTCCCCAGGGCAGGGTGGGGTGGCACTCCTGGGGTCCATCTGAGATCAGAGGGAGCGCTGAAAACAGCTGGGCTGCCCCCACTCCCCCAGTGCGGAAGACTGTGCCGCCCCCTGCTCCCAGCTCCCAAACAGACCCCGAGCTCAGTCTCCCATGAGGAAGCTGGGGCGCAGGGACAGGCAGGAGCACAGCCAATGACCCCTCTGACTTCTGCAGCCCCACCCCCTCAAGGCACCCACTTTGGATTCTCGGCTTTTCTTTCTGGAAAATGGGACAGCAAAGAGAAAGGGTGAGTGGGGAGAGTGCGGGCAACAGGGGCCGAATATCTGACAGGCGGCAGGCTGGTAATGCTGGTGACCCCAGAGCCCATGGACATGGCCAGTGGGCACAACCCAGAAGGGCTAAGGAGCCTGTCTGGCTCTCCAGGGGGTGGGCGTGCTGGGTGCTTCTGCTCTTGTGGTATCTCAGTGCTCCTATCTGTGAGGTGGGCAAGGTCAGGCTAAGGGGGCCCTAGGGACTCTCCCAGGATGCCGGAACTGGAGTGGCAGATCCGTGACCCATCACAGGCTGCTGCAGCACCCAGCAAAGGCTGTGTGACCTTGGGACTCACTTCCTGCCTCTGGGTACAGTCTCCTCCTCTGGCAAAGGAGGAGGGTCAGGCAGGTGATTCATTGCCATGGCTCTTTTTGGTTCTGGTAGAAGGTTCTAGATTGTGCTAGAAGGAAAGAGAATAATGTGCCGTTCTCCAAGAAAAATGAGAAGCCCATTTCTCCTACTGCAAGGCATGTCGGAGCCTTGCACATCAGCAGAATCATTTTCAGGAAATCATCTTAAACATCAAAAAAAGCTTTCTACATAAAATATAACCACCACCTCATTCACCAGGACCATCCAGAACGCTGCACAAAAGAGGGAATGTTAAGTAAACGATGGCACATCCACCAGATTGAAACAGCCCGAAGACATGGTGTTTACGGAGAGCTGGTTACAAAACAGGAAAAGGCTCCCGTTAGCATTGCCAAAGAAGAAGGCAGGATATAGATCCGAATACAGAGAATGACGACAAAGCCTCTAAAAAACAAACCAACCACCAAGTCCACAAAGACTGCAAAGGATGACATCAAAACAGCATCGTGGTCATAGCTCACTGTCAGTAACCTTCTTTGTTTCTTTTTATTTTTCACATTTTCCATGAACCATATTTTCAAATGCTTACATCGAAAAGGTCTCTTAAAAAAATAACTAAATGCCTCCGATTGAGAAACCTTCCTCTTTCATTCATGTATTCATTCATTCATCACTGATTCATTCACTCCGAGGTTTGTCCAGCCCAAGCAGGGCTCTTCTTTGCGCCTGGCCTCAGGGCTCTAAGATCTGCAGGGAATGCCTCTCCCCTGCAGGAAATGGAAATTCAGGGAGGGTGGAGGAAAGGGAAGACAGCCCCTCAGATGACTGCCCAGCTAAGGGTTTGTGCCACGATGGGCCCTTTCTCCAGTGCATGAGGAGAAATCAACCCTGGGGATGGGGCCTGCCCTCAGCACTCAGAGTCCCACAGTCGGGCCTTAAGGAACTCACCCTTAACTACCAAGCCTCCAGCTGTGGGTGGTAAGGATGGAGGTGGCAAATGGGGCAAGAGCAGACAGGGTGGGGGGTTGGGGGGACCAGTCCTCCTGGCAATTCTGCTTCTAGTTCTTGTGTCTCTAACCCTGGTAACTAACTCCTTTTTAAAGCCTCAGGGCTACAGGCCCCTCCCTGACTATGACACCCTCTCTCCAGCTCTAATTTCAGTCTCCCCTAAGGTCCCTGAACGAGGCACCACCCAGCCAGGCCCTGCCCCAATGCAGCTGCTGCGAAGGGAGCACAGGCCAGGGAATCTACTAGCTCCCCTCACTGTCAGCAAGTCAAGGGAGCCAACTGAGCGTTCCTGCTGTGTATGGGGACAGACATGCTGGGAGGGCGAACTCTACTCCTGGACCAAGACGCAGAAACCATTTGCCACCGCCCCCCCAGGGTGCCTGCCCACTCCCCGGGGAACTGTCTCTTGAAGCAGGCAGAGGTTCCTTCACCTGCCTGGGTGTCCAGCTCGGGGTCCCCGGCTAGCCCTTTGAATTCACCTGGCGATCCAATTGAGGCAGGTCCTTCTTCACCTCCACTCCTGTTCCAGCCAGCCCTCCACCCCTTCCACACCCCGCAGGGAGCAGAAGGATCTGGGAGCCGTGAGTGACCTGGCAGCCCCTACTTTGAGTTGAGCCACCCTCAGGGTTGCGACCCCCCCACCAAATTCCCCTTGGTTAGCACACCCTTCCCACGGCCCCAGTGGAAATAGAAGTTCCCACTACTCTCCTCGCCCAGCCCTCGAGGGAGGGGATGAGGTGTCCGAATCACCGGGTCACCAGAGCGGCATCTGCTGTGGATCACAAGAGACAAACACTTCGTCATACACACATCACCCGTGGGATCACCTCTGAAGCCCGCATTGTACGTGAGGGGAGGAGGCCGAGGTGGAGGGAGGAGGCTGAGGTTGCGGGGGCCTCGGATGATCCTGAAGTCACCAGCCAATCACCAAGCCCAAGAGGGGCTCCAATCCACCACCCCGGCGGAAAACCCAGGCCTCTGGCCTCCCTGGGCCTCTTACCTTGCCCCCACCCCCAACCCTCAAGGCGCCATCCACTTCAAGGTCTCTAACCCAAACAAGCCCCTCCCCCTCCTCCGACACAGGGTCAGTAGTCCCAGGAAAGATCAAGCTACCACCAACCCCCACCCTGCCAACAGAAATGCAAGATTTCATTGTCAGCCTGGCCATTCGGGCACGAGAACCAGCAGTTGCTAGCTCGAGGAGTGGGGAGGGGTCTCCAGGGGGAGTGAAGCTACTCCTCAGCTCGGTACAGATCCGGAAGCCGCTGGGGGTGGGAGGAAGGCGGGGGTGGGAGAGCAAGACCTTAAGCGCTGGCGGCGGGGCTGTGCTGGAGGCCAGAGGAAGCACCCGGAGGCGGCAGGGGCGCCAAGTTCCCTGGGAGGCTGCGCTCTCGGGAAGTTTCCCACCGGTTGCCGAAAGCAGGACAGGGCACGCGGTCTGACCTATTCCAGGTCGCAGATTGCGAACTTGAACAAAACTCTTTCCTTCGGCGTCCCTCACCTCACTATCCGCGGCCACCAGCCCCTCCATCTCGGTATTGCGTTCCACCAGTACCACTGTTGCCGAGACCATGGAGGAAAGAGAAGGGAATCCCCATCCTCAGCACAACCAAACTACGGCCAAATTTTTTTTTTAAAGAAAAAAAAAAAAAAAGGAAAGACATTCCTTCTCCCGAGGCCAATTCCCTCAACTGGCATGGAAAACCCCCAAACAGGCAAATCTGTAACTGCACCCAAGATTGCGGCGTGCGCGGGAGGGATGCCGGCAGGGACCCCCGCCGGTCGCCCCAGGTTGTAGCAGGTCTGAGCGCCGCGGCGGCGGGGGCATCCGGGAGCCCTCGAACCCCAGAACGGCTCCCCAAAGACACAAAGCTCTGACGCCAACAATACCTGCGGGCTCCTCCTGGGTCTCCCAAGCACTGGCGCTACGCGTCTTGCCGTCTCTCTTTCCCCAGGCAGTCTTTCTCCTCCCGAAGCGCTGGTTCTCCCCCTAGCTTCTTCCACAACGCAGCGGCCAGATGAGATCCTTGGGAGAAAAAAATGTGAGCGCTCGCACGATTCCTGATTCCTTTCTCTCCGCCGCTCACGGGCTCGCTCCTTTCTCTCTCGCGCTCCCGCGCGCGCCGCGCCTCTCTCGCCCCGCGCTTCCTTCTCAGCAGCCCCTGCGAGCGCCCTCAGTAGCCATTATTCACGGGTCGCCGGGGGACAGGAGGTAATTAGAGACCGCCCTGCGGCCGCATCCACTCGGAAGGCGCGATGCAGGCGAGGGGGGCGCGCGCTCGCGCGCGGGGAGGGGCGCGCGTCGAGGGGGCTTGGCGGCGTGCAGCCCGAGCCCCAGACGAGAGGGAGGGGAGGAGGGGGCAGAAGAGGAAGGGGGGCATTTGCTGCCGGGGAGATGTTCCCAAAGCTCATGGGATGGGGGCTGTCCTGGGCTAGGAGGCTCGGTTAGGGTCTGGGGGTGGGGGTGAGTGTCTCTGTGAGCGCGCGCACGCGTGCTTGTCAGAGATTAAAGGGAAGGGAGTGAACGCTTAATATTTTTCCAGTGACTTACGAGCCGGTGGGTGAGCTCTTGGCTGCGCGTTTAAGTCCGTGTGTATCAATGAGGCTGTATATTTCTGGTCTGTCCTACGTGTGAATGTCATGGGGTGTAGGGGTCTGGCTGCGAGCTGTGAATGGCTGCAAGCTGTGAATGTATGTGTCTCTGGGTCTCTGAGGGACCGAGTGATGTGGTGCCTGCGTGGGTCATGTTTTTATGCGATTGTTTATGGGGGAGGGTGTGACTGCGTGGGTGGGACTGCGCCTGTGCGGGGCTGTGTCTGTATGAGGTTTGTGTGTGTGGGATTGTGTCTGCGTGGGCTCGAGTGTGTCTGAGGGGTGTTGTGTGTGCGTATGGGCTTGTTTGCGATTGGGATTGCGGTTGCTGGGGCCAAGGGGCTGTGCATGGAAAGGGCAGTGCGCCTGTGCAGGACTGTGGTTTGGCGAGAGGCTGTGGTGTATGTCTGCAGGCAATCCTGTGTGGGGCTGTGCTCTGCGTGCGGGTCTGAGGCCTGGCAGGCGAGGTTGGGAGGAAGGGGTCCGAGTGGCGTCAGGGATACCACCACCTCAGAAAAAGCCGCTTAAGATGCGAACAGGCTGCGATGGGGTCAGGGCGTAAAGCGCCGAGTAGTGACAGAGGAGGGGCGGGAGAGCGAAGGCGGAGAAGGAGGGAGACTTCATCCTTGCGCCCCCTCTCTCCGCACCGGAGACGCAGCTTGGAGATCCTGGCACTTGTGAGCCCCGCGGTCCTAGAGGCACTGGTTTTAGAAAACCCTGCTGGACTGGGAAAGTCGCCTAAGGGCTGGGGGCAGCTGGAGCTGACACAGGGGATATCTAGCAGCAGCCTGGAAGGGAGTGGTGAGGGTTGCCTGAAGAGGCGGGTCCTGGTGGGAGACAGCGGAGGACTAGGCCGAGACAAAGAAGAGCAGGCCGGGGACTTCAAGGTGGCCCGCACCTCCAGGTGCCCCTGCCGCTGAGGGATGGCCCAGCCAGACGCGCTAAAGGCTGGCACGTGGAGCCCCGCACCGCTGCCGCGGCCCCTCCTTGTCCCAGTCTTAGAGCCGCCACAGACAACAGCTCCAGAGCCCCGGGGGCATGGAATTCTGCACCCTAAGCAGGCGCAGTAGTGGGGTTCTGAATGTGCAGTAGGGCACAGACGCCCAGGGACTGTGATTGAGCGCTGGCCTGGCCAGCGCCTTGCTAGGGCTGCTCACTGCCCATGCAGGCATTTATTCATTCATCCACCCACCCTTCTCCCCAGACACATGTCTGACCTGTCGTGGGTCTACTCTATTATCGATCATCATTATTGATTATTGAGCTACGGACCACACAGGCTTGTCAGACCTGGCTCTCTCTCATTTTCCTCAGCCCTCACCTCTGCTTCCCCTTTCAGACTCCTCTCTGTTCTGGTAAGAGGGGAGGAGCGCAGGTTTTGCAGTTCAGAGATCCACCAAAGCCCTCTCCTCATTTCCCAACCCCCACCCTGCCCTACTAACGGCTCCATACATGGGTTGGGGGCCCCCTTCCTCCTACCCCTTCCCTGGCTTCACTGAGGCCCTTGGCTGTCAGGCAGCTACAGGAGGGTGGCTACAGGCAGCACTTCTGCACCCCACCATCTGAGTGCCTCCCTCAGTCCAGAACCCTCTGGGCAGGGGGAGGGGAAGCAGAAAGGGGTTTCATGAAAGGGTTGTTGTGCCTCCAGGTTCTTGGCTGAGGGTTACGTGGGCACTGGTGGCACTAGTGCTCCAGTGGCCTGAGGAGTCAATCCCAAAGAGTGTCCACTGGGAAACTAAAAACAGAATCCTGAGCTCTAGCTCAGACCTGATCAATTCCAATGCCCAGAGCCTCACTGTTTCCTTGCACATGCTGTTCCCTCTGCCAAGGAATCAATATCTTACTGCTAGGCCTGGAGTGTCCAGACTCCTGAGTGTGGCTGCCCAGGGACAAAGAGCAGCCCTCTCTCCCAGAAATGGACCCAAAATGGCCCTCTGGGCTGACTGACCCCTGGCTCACCTGGTGAGGATGTGGCAGAAACAAAGGGGCTGACCGACTGCGAGCACCTACCCGCAGCCAGCAGGCCCTGGGCAGCCCAGCTCCGCCCTGGGGTTCCAGACTTTAAAAGGCAGACTGCTTAGTCTGACCTGGGGACCAGGGTCCCTTAGTCCTAAACCAGCTGGGTGAGCCAGGAGAGGCCCACTCTGTGTGCACCATTAGACAAAAAAAGCCCGAATCCCTGCTGGGGACCACCGAGCCAGCCATAAACTATGGCTGTGATGGCTATGATCTATAACCCGTCACAGTGCTGCCTGACCCTCAGCCTCAGACTCTCCCTCTCACATCCTGACTCAGCCACCTCCTCTGTGCAGACACCCACAAGGTCAAGGCTGGCAGGTGGGACTTTTGGGATGGCAATGTTTGCCACCTTCCCTTGGGGAGGGCAGAGATATGCTCCCACCCCCTCCCTGGTTTCAGGGTGACCAGAAGAAGAAAAAAGTCCATACAGTTGTTGAGACCCCACAAAATCTGCCACCACTCTGACCTCACTCCCACCCCCCATACCACTGTCCCGTGAATTTACAGGTACACTCTCATTTCAGGGCCTTTGTACTTGCTGGTCCCTCTGCCTAGAATGCCTTCCCTAGCTTCTAACGCACCACTTAATTTACTTAGTTGTGTATTTTGTATTTGTTTTTGTCTCTTTGCTCACTGGAATGCCCTCCATACCTGCAATGGAGCCTGACACACATTCCGTAAGTTTTTGTGAATGAATATATAAGTGAATGAATGAATGAGGCTGACCCAGCCCTCCTCCTGTGAACATGACCCAGCCTGGGGCTATCTCTTCTTTGAAACAACAGCCCCTTTAAAGAACAAGAGGGGTGTTTGGGGATGGAGGACACCTGGGCAAAGACAGGTCATGTGACTCATGAGAGGTCACTCAGGGAGTGTGTTTCACAGATTCAGGATTCCGGGCACATGTCCTAGGGGTCCGAGGGAATGAGATGGTGGTGGGTGGCTTATCCCAAAGGAGAACGGAGCCCTGCATCTGTTCTGGGCGCTCTGCGTTTGTCGTTCCTGGCAGGGGTCGGGGAGGTAGGGTGTTCAGATCCACAACTGCCAGAGGGGGACAGAAGCCCCTACCTGGCCAGGACCCTTCTATGAGAGTTATGTTGGAGGGTCATTAGGGGGGCCCCCCGAGCGAGGATCTGCCCACCTCTGAGGGGAGAGACCCAGGCTTAGAGCCGTGGAAGGGCTCCTGGAGAACACCCAGCAGGACAATCTGATCCCTCCCTGGCTAAGTTTCCGGAGAGATTTTTTCTCACCTCTGCCTCGTACAGAGCAGGTGCTCAATACGCATTTAGCCAGTGAGTGAAGAAAGTGGTAGTGCCCAGGTTCAAGCTTGGGTATGCGTGGCCCTGAAACCCTTGCTTGTTCTCTCAGACTCTACTGGCAGGACTCCATGGGACCACGGTGGGGGCACGTGCACACAGCAGGTGCTCCATAAATACCCAGGGGACCGCCAGCAGGGGATGCTGCCTGGCTGGCAAGATCCCTGCTCAGGCCAGCGGTCTGACTACACCACCCACCATAGGATTCCTAGTCTGGGCCAAGCGGGGAGAGGGGATCCACCCCCCTTGTTGACTGGTGGGAGAGTTCTATGGGGCAGGGCAGGGTGCTCACGGGACTCAAAGGCCCAGTGTTCCTGGTGAGGTGTGGCTGTGTTCAGGACAGCCTGGGCCTGGACACGGTACCCCTTTTTGGCCTATCTGAGTAGCTGTTTTCATGCAAAGTATGTGTCCGAATGCTACTCTAGGGTTAAACAACAAACAGGAGCAGGGGGGACCCCAGACATGGGCTTCAGGAGGGCAGGCAAAGAGGTCAGCTGGGCTGCCAGGTGTTGGACTCAATGACAGGCCACCAGGGACAGGGGTTACCCAGTGGCCACCCAGGTGGAGAGGCATTCGGACTTCAGGTGCCTGGACTCTACCCATCAGACCAGGCTGGTGCCACTGAGATCCAGATGTTGTGTCCAAGCTCAGGCCTGGTCTGGTCACCGCAGGCCCTCCTCGCCTTGGGGCTCTGTGCTCTCCAAGGAGAAGACAGGGCATCAGGCCCCTCACTTGCAAGAATGAAGCCCTGGGGTCAGAGGGGGCCAGGCAGGCGGAACGTCTACTCCACATGTTTGTGGAGTAGTCAGCCAGTGATTTCTAGTCTTTCTGCCTCAGATCAGCCACCCTTCCTATTTCAGAGACTGGGTCACTGAGGTCCAGACAGTGGACTTGCCCAAGGTCACAGCTGGAGTCTAGCAGAAATATTCATCCATTTAAGAGCACCAACTATGTTCCAGGCACTGTTCTAAGTGTTGAGGATTTGGAGCTAGTAATGAGACAAAATTTCCAGTCTTTCTAAAAGCTGTGATACTGACAACAAACAAATGAATGAGTAAATTATGTAGTATGTTACATTTAGGTGGAACAGTGTTGTTAA